ATTTTAAATTGTCACCTGTCACTGAAATTGTGTGTTTCCTCATTGAATTGGTGCAGAAAAATTCACCAGAATGCAGGAAATTAAGTGTTTAAAGCCAATTGTTCAGGGGGAGGACCACAGACCAAATTCTTGCTAGTGTGCAGGATGGCGGGTCCTGCTTTACCTCCACACGCTTCACACAGACAGCCCAGTTAGCGGGAGCAGCCTGTGGCTTAGAGAAGAACTCCACATGAAAGAATGTCTATTTAGTGGGAGACTCACAGTGGGTGGACCCTTTTGAATGGAAATAAATATAATTGATCTTTATTTGTAGAGCACTTTTCAAAAACAAGTTACAAAGTGCTTTAACAAGTGTAAAGAATAATACCCAAAAGACAATAATACAAAAACAATACAAGATAAAAGCATGAAAACATTGAAAAGACTAAAATACACGTTTAAGATAAATATAAAATTAGTAAAATACAATAAAATAAAAGGGATAAAATAAAGTCAAATAAGATCGGGAAAAGCTCTCCTGTAAAAGTATGTTTTAAGAAGGGATTTAAAAGAGTTCTGTGACTCAGCCGACCTGATTTCCTCGGGCAGGCTGTTCCAGAGCCTCGGGGCCCTGACAGCAAACGCTCTGTCCCCTTTAGTTTTCAGTCCAGACTCTGGAACAGACAGCAGACCTCTGCCCGAGGATCTCAAGGTACGTGCTGGTGTATATGGGACTAAAAGGTCAGAAATATAACAAGGTGAGAGGCCATGAAGAGCTTTAAAAGTGATCAATAAAATTTTAAAGTCAATTCTAAAACATACTGGGAGCCAGTGTAATGAAGCTAAAATAGGAGTAATGTGGTCATATTTCTTTGTTCTGGTTAAAAGCCTGGCAGCTGAGTTCTGGACAGTCTGGAGTCGATCAGTAGATTTTTGGGTTAAACAGGTGAAAAGGCTGTTGCAATAATCCAGGTGTGATGAGATGAAGGCGTGTAAAATGGTCTCAGTGTCCTTAAAAGTTAACATAGATCGAATTTTTGCTATATTTCTAAGTTGATAAAAACATGATTGAACAAGCTTTGTGGTGTGCTGCTCGAAATTTAAATTACTATCAAACCAAACACCAAGGTTCTTTGCCACAGGCTTAATGTGATTTACTAGGGAACCAGCAGATGGCAGTATTTGATTTGCCATCTGCTGGGACCCAATGACCAGGATTTCTGTTTTGTCTGAGTTCAGCTGGAGGAAATTATTTGACATCCATTTTTTAACTTCACAAAGGCAGTTGTTAAGTGATCTGTGGATCTGACGGGCAAGTATATTTGTGTGTCATTAGCATAAATATGAAAAGAAATGCCATGTTTATGGATAATTTGTCCAAGGGGAAGCAGATACAAGGAAAACAAACAAGTAGAGCCCTATGCAAAACTTTTTTTATTTTCCATTCCCAGTAGATTTATGACCATTACTGCCTGCTCAATGACCTTTGTGTATTCTCCCATTTTTATTTTATGTACAGATTTTTAAATTGAGCAAATATAGGAAAACATTTGACATTATTTTGTATTTACTTTTTTGTTATCTGTAAATGCTGGACAGATATGGATGGTGTTACATTTGTGAGAGGAATGCAGCTCCACACAGATCGATAAATACATGCTGTGTTTAATTGCTGGTGGGAAAAGGGGACATCTGGGCTTTTCATTCAATAGCCTATAAATGTTTTATATAAGCTATTTTTAATTGGTGAATTTGTTCTTTACTGGTCTTTCCCACTTTGAAATAACATGGGTTTGTCAAGAACCTAGATGACCTAGTTTTCCACCAGCACTAATATCCACCAGCATTCATTTGGTGATCTGAAGAGTGTCTGAAAAAGCCACACACTAATGTTACTTTATACAATGTAAATATTAGTGGATTTATTATGTTAAATATCTGTACATAAAATATTATTATTATTTAGGTTGTTACAGTAGGTTGGTTAATTTGTATTATGTTATTTATTGAAATTGCTCTGTGTTGTGTGTGGATTTGAACACACATTTGCAGTTTTTTGGTCTCGAAAGAAGATGTGATGTTGAATCATTATCTTAATCTGAAGAAAAAGCTTATATTTTTTAGTGGTGTTTTCTCCCAGAGGCCAAGGGAAGCCAGGCTGCCCTCTAATCACAGCATGCGACCAATGTCATTCAGATGAATTAACGGGAGCTGTTAGCAACTTTAGCTGATTTGGAGTTTTTAGTTATAATAAATACTTTTACTAAACTACCACTACAGCAGCAATTTAAGATTAAATCTGACGGAAGACCAAAACTGGAGCTGTGCCTGGTGAGAAAAAAGGGGTTTCGGACATTCAATGAGGAAAATGATGCATGAGGCAGCAAACAGTAGAATTTGTCCCTCCAAAATTACTGTGTATACAAAGAAAAGGTGCTGTACTGTGAAGGTTCTACTACACGTAAGTCAGAAGATTGTGTCAATTAATGGCTGTTTAATAAATGTTGGAAACCAATACCTCTCTTTTCTTTCTTAAATTTATGCCAATGCTAACAAATTTTTTGAAGTAAATTGCACTTTTATAACAGAAAAAAAGAAAACATTTAATGAAAATAAGTACATGAATTGATTCAAATTTTTCTTTTAAATATAACTTATTTTAATTAAGTTTGTGGTTATAACACTGTCCATCATGACAATGGTTGAACTAAATTTTTTGGCACTTTTTTTGTAGACTCTACTTAATATTTTACTACACTAAAATGTTTAGTAGCCTACTGAGTTTTCCCAACTTAAAAAAAACTAACAAAAAGTGGTTGGAAATTGTTGCCTAATTTTTTAGATCCAAGTAAGTTTTTACAGTGATGATGATCATTAAAATCTACTCCTTGAGAGGAGGAGCAGCAGGCCGGTAAGGAGGGACTGCGGATTGGCTGGATGAGAGCAGGCAGCTACTTTTTCACTGCAAAACATTTTTTACTCCCCTCAGCTCTCTGTAGCTCAGGCAATCCCTGCTACCTGCATGTGCTAATCCTTTCTTTTTGTTTTCTTTTTTTTTTTTAAACCTTTCCTACCCGGCAGCCTGTTATGAGTATGAGGATACCATATTGTGCCAGACAGATTTTACTTTAACAAGAGCGGAGCCACGTAGACCCTACGCAGGAGTATAAATGGGCAAACTTGTTTAATCCACATGGCTGCTCTTTTATTGCTTTAACAAAATCAACAAAATTTCAACAGGTGGAACTAATTGATCTACTGATGTGTTTGATGACAAAACACTCGTTGACTGATTTTCTGTCTAACAGCTCGTATCGGCCTATTGCATTAACATCAGTGCAAAATCATGGAAAGAATGAAAACAAGTTCACTTCACTGAATTTCAAAATGGTTGTAGAGACAGAAGATCAACAATGGAGTTAGTTTTAGATCAAGATATCAAGAAGGCATTTAATAATAAAGAAGTAGTGGTAATTGTATTTTTAGATATTGAGAAAGCTTATGACTGCTTGTGGAAGGAAGGACTGATGATTAAAATTTATGATCTAGGAATTAGAGGTAGATTGTTTAATTGGATTAAAGATTTCTTAATGAATAGAACAATTCAAGTGCAAGTGAGTGGATGTAGATCAAAATGTGTTAAAATAGAAAATGGTACCCCTCAAGGAAGTGTCATAAGTCCAGTCTTTTTTAATATAATGATAAACGATATATTTAGTAATATTGGAGAGAGGGATTGGGCAGTCTGTATTTGCAGATGATGGGGCTATTTGGAAACGAGGTAGAAATACAGAGTTTATTTTAAAACAAATACAAAAGGCTTTAGTTACTGTGGAGGAAAATATTCTACTTAAGTAAAAGTATGATTACTTTGATGAGCTTTTACTTCAGTACAAGTAAAACTACCGGTATAAAAATCTACTCAAGTAAAAGTAAAAGTTACTTAGTAACTTTTTAAAAGTCCTTAAATAACTTATTTATATTGATTTAATATCTTATTTATATATACTAAATAACAAAGACATATGGCACTTTCAATTTAGGTTGTTTGACAGATACTTTCCCAAATCAATGGCGGAAAACAATGACATTGTATGTTATAATGAGAAGTTTGAGAATGTTTTCGCTTCATTAGGAAACAGATTAAACTCTGGCGGCCACACTGAACTGTGAAAACAGGAAACACTGGACTTTACATGAAGTCATGTCCCTGTTTACATTCAAACAGGTGGTCATTTTAATGGGATATCATAAGCGTTAGTATAATAAATAACTAGTTACCAGCAAGTTGCAAATGCCAACCAACACTGTCGTGCTCCGATGTGTTTTTAGCTCTTTGGAGCAAAGCATCTTGACTTTAAAGCCCCATCACAGTCCATTGTGGAGCCTGATGCACATGAGGGTCCACATTTGATCTTGGATGATTTATAAAAGGGAAGCGAGAAAAACATCACAGCAAATCCGCCTTATAGGAGAAGAAGAAGAACGGTAAACAAACAAGCATGGAAACCAACGCTGATGCTAAAATTATTAGAATTTTTCTTAACATAGATTTAAGATGACACATGAAGTCAGAAGAATACAATCACCTTATTGCACACTTAATTTACTCAACCATTTATTTTAGTTTTTGATTAATGGTGCTGTTTTGACCAACAATAATGCATTGATTATTGACAAATGTAGATTGATATTTACCTCTCCTCCACTCTGTAGGGCGAGAGCCTGCAGGACTTAAAAAAATCAGGCAAAAACATAAAATAAAAAGTGTGCAACGTGTTTCAGCGTCGTCAAGGTAACGTGATAAAGTGGCAAAGTGCTGTCCCGTTCCTGTTTACAGCATTTTGAGCCCTTGCAGCCTCTTGGACTCAATCACTTTGCAAGTGACGTCAGTAAAGTCTGTAAGGGTTCAGGGTTTAGGGCTTAGGGGGGACATTTGGATTGGGCCATAAATTGTGATCTGTTTCTGCTATTTCCGCTTTATGTTTGTGTGTGTCGTCGGACAACATTTGCTGAGGCACCCAAACCCGGAACAACAACGTTCGTGCAAATGTGCACAGGTACTCGTACGTAAAATTAGAGCTGCGAGAACAAATTAAAGATGCTTTACTGGATGAACGGGAACAGCGGCAGCTCGGAGAACCTCGACAGCCTCAATAACATGTCCAAGACGGAGATCCTGAGAGGAATCGTCACCGAGAAACTGACAACAGCCGCGCAGGAAATCTTAGCGGTGGTAGAGAGAACCGTAGCCGGGTACGAGGAGGAGGCTTCGGGCTTCAGACGGGAGATCGACCGGCAGAGGAGGCAGCTGGAGGTTCTCCTGCAGCCTCGGGTCAAACTAGAGAAAAGAGGTAAGTGGCTGAGTTAACGCAGTAATAAATGGCACGCTTTGTTCTTTTAAGATGCGGAACTTTGTTTAAAAAACTGCTAATTTAAAGTTTATTTGCCCGCTGACAAACGTGCAGACTGCGGAGGACATAAAGTCGAAGCGTACACATGTTTTCACGATATCACTTAAAAATCGGCATACAAAAAGTTATATTTAATGTTGTAAATGAAGTCGGTTTTAACATTTGGTTCATGGGGCCTTTTTGTCAGTTTTGTTACACTAACGTTATGCGGGACTTTGATTTCAGGGACCTTTGGTTTTCCAGAAATCCTGAAATAACAGTGTTGCATATCTGATAAAAGCTGCTATGAAAACACTCATATTAACTGACTTTCTTTTACTTGTGCTTGACCACATGAAGCCCTGAACCCAGATGTTGAAGGCCCTGAGGTGGAAGAAGAGGAGGAGGAGGAGGAGCAGCGGCGGCGGCGGCGCACACATCAGTCAGGTATGTGGGTCTTTACAAGAAACCAATTAAAGTTATTAAGAGCTGCATGACGTTGCTCGCTGCTAAAAATTTGCAGTTTAAGTGTTGGAAATCATTGAAATACTGAAAGAGTGGATGTTGAAATATAATTGCTGAAAGAAGTTCAAATGAAAGTGAAAGAAGTTAAAGCTTCTATTTAAGTGAAAGCACTGAATAAATTTGCAATGAAAGTGCTGAAAGGGGTTGAAGTGCAGGTGGTAAATTGAGCTGAACCGATATTATTGGCAGATGTGAGCTAATTGCAGTCTTATAACAAGATCATTTTTGTTTGTTATGTGTTTCTGAAAAGAAGAAAAAATAATTTTGGCCAATATATCAGATTTTAAAATTCAAAGTGAAAGCGTAGTAGTAGTAGTTGTAAAATGTGTATCAGCAGAAGTTGAGAATTTATAGTTTTTCTTAGTTTTTTTTTTACCTTACTTACATTTATGTTTTATTTTGTTTTTTGGGTTAAACATTAGTGGTGTGTAACGTAATTGATCCTAAGGACCTGATCCGAAAAGAAGATCCAATCCGTGACTCAAAAACCATGGTATGACCCGAGCCCAGAGTTATGTAATACGTTGCACCTTATTTGTAGATGGTGATAGGCAAATTAAGTTTTTAAAAATACCAAAAACATTACATTTGTAAATTATATGCACATAAATATGAAGAAATTTACTGCCAAAGCAGTTAGTCAATTAATCAGTTAGTTGATTGACAGTAAATTAATTGGAAAACATTTTGATTGTTGATTAATCATTTACGTTTTTTTTGTTTTTTTTTAAAGAATAACATGAAAGTGAATATTTTTATAGGCCCAATCAATGAATCTATTCATGATGTATGTCATATTATGCAGATAATGTAGTTGTGTTTCTCAGCCATCATACACCCAGTATTAAATTCAAAATGGGACTTGAGATGTTTGACTCCATCTGTGTCCAGGTGTGGAGGACACTGGGAGCCTGGGCCTCATGTGGTTTGATGATGATGATGATGAAGAGGGTGACGACGAAGAGCAGCAGCTGTCAGCACAACCGGCAACTAGCTCCAGAAAGAGACGAGAAGATCTGAAGGACCCAGATTATCAAATAAAATCAAGGTCTCAAATCCTGCTTCAGCCCACTCATACTGCCAAACCAAAAGTATGTGGACACCCCTGTGGTCAACAAGTTGTTGGCTGGATGTTATTAGCTATTTACGAGGGGTGTGTCAAGATATCGTGCCATGGGATCCCCCAACATTAAAACGGGACAATATTTCCCATAGAGTTGAAAACTCTCACGGTAGCAGAGCTGCCAACTCTCACATATTGAGCCAGAGACTCGCACAATTTACACTTTCCACACGCTGTCACGCCAAACATCACTTTTCTCGCACAGTAAAGGAGCTGGTAGAGTTTTGCAATATAAACATCTAAAAACTGAGGCGCAACATTGCTCTGTTTAGGACGGTGAGGTGCACTTCATCGGAGGTGATGAACGTGTGTGTGGATTTGTGGTGAGATTTCTGCCTGAATTGTGCAGAAGGTTTTGAACATGAACATAAAACCTGCTGAAACACAGGAGCTATTAGAGTCCAGGAGTTTATAACTGTACTAAAATGAATAAATTTATTGTTGAGGTGAAACGGTGCCATAATCACATTTATAGTAGTTACTTCCCTCAAACACACAAAAGAGAAATGCTGATCAACAGGAGAATACATATTTAATGTTCTACAACCACACGTGGGTGTAATATTCCAGTGTTCACATACTTTTGGCCGTGTAGTATATATTTAACATAAAGACATGAAGTCAGAAGAAGTTATTTTGTTATTAACCTGCTAACAATCTTCACCCTCCAGGTCATTTTCCCCCAGAGGCCGGTCTGACAGGAGAAGGCTCGGCAGACCTCGGATCATTGACACACAGGACCACATCGATCTCAAGATCCGCATCCTGGAGCACTCACAAGCCGATATGCTCTCAAGAAGCGGTACAGTTCAAAGACTTATTATTAGTCCTATACGTTATGATTGATTATTGACTGAATTAATAACTTATCTGCACAGAGGCTTCAGTTCAAGATTAACTGAACGTCACAATAATTTTTTCCCTGTTTCAGTGTTTCAGAAATGTCCGGTGCAGGAGCTGCAGTGTCCTCTGGGACTGCAGGAGGCGGACTTCCTCGACCTGCTGAGGTCCACCTTCCCTCAGCTAGCTGCTCAGAAACATTTTGACTTCTTCACATCCGACAGGAGCAGGAGGCTCCAGTCTCTGAGAGCAAAGACGCTGACACCAGAGGAGATCTACAGGAGCATCAGGCTCACCGGAGCAGGACACTCAGCCCTCTACATCCGACTGAAGGTACTTCGAATTAAAAACAGCATCGTCTGTCATGTTTTATTTTTTTTAACCACTTTTAACCAGCAACATTGCCCCTTTTATTGCCTGTTTGGCTAGTCGTTTTAATATCACGGGTGGGGCAGTTTGATGCAGAGATCGGTCTCTTTTTTTGGGGGGAACAAACCTGTTACAGACAGGAGAGGATCCCCAGACCAGCGGCAAAGACCTTCATCCTGTACAGAGGCCAGATGATGCCACTAAAGACTCTCCACCCAGCTCCGCCACCATGTCGGCTGATGAAACCCAAACGTGCTCCTGGTAACTAAATATTTTTGCTCACAGATCTGAGCAAATCAGTTTGTATTTCAGAATTTTTTTTTATTTCAGCAAAATTTTATGCCAAAGTTCTTGGTAAAACTTCCAATTTAAATCAGTTTTTTTAAATAACACGTAAAGTCATCCAGGATAATCAGATATTGTGTATTAACTAAATATTCATGTTTCAGGTTATCATCTCCCAGCAGTTCGTCTGGGAAGAGGAGGCGTGGCAGACCTCGCCTGGGTGAAGGACCGACTCACCACTTCCTCAAAGTGTGCATGCTGGACGATTCCCAGTCCGACGTCCTCTCAAAAAATGGTGAATTTAAAAGATGCATTTATGAATGGACTAAATGCATGTTGGAAGATAGATAGAACAACTTACACAAAACACGCATGAGGTTTAAAAAAAAGAAAACACATAGACACCCATCAGCCATAACATTATTCAAATTAGCTTTATTGGCATGAATGTGTAACAACAATATTGCTAAAGCATCATACAAACTACATAAGAACAATCAACCCCATAAAAAAAAAATATTAACAATTAAAATAAAATGAATAAATAAAACACAACCTTATGACCGCTGACAGGTGAAGTGAAAGACACTGATTATCTCGTTACCATGGCACGTGTCAGAGGGTGGCATATATTAGGCAGAAAGTGAACATTGTGTCCTCAAAGTTGATGTGTTAGAAGCAGGAAAAGTGGGCGTTAGGTGTAAAGATTTGAGCAACTTGGGACAAGTTCTGATGGCTAGATAACTGGGTCAGAGCATCTCCAAAATAATCTGCAGTGGTCAGTACCTGTCAAAAGAGGTCCACGGAAGGAAAAGCGGTGAACTGGCGACAGGGTCATTACAGACCAAGGCTCACTGATGCATGTGGGGAGCGAAGGCTAAAATACTGGACCACGGAGCAATGGAAGAAGGTGGCGTGGTCTCATGAATCACATTTTCTTTTACATCACCTTTGGCTCCTCAGCGAGGCCCAGTGGTCCATGCTGGACTCAAGCCAGATTCCCACTGATTGAGCTAATGCCACCGCTCAGATCCCCTCCGTCGCACAATCTGGTGTCTGTCCATCAGGTAGTCAGTAACCTAGGAGGTATCTGCCTGCATCTTTTGGCGCTTCTCCGGCAGTAGAATAGGCAGACTGTGTTAAAAGCAGTGGAGGAATCAAAGAACATGATCCTCAGTGTTACCAGCCTTGTCCAAGTGAGTGTGGGCTCGCTGGAGCAGGTAGATGATGGCATCCTCGACACCCACCTCAACAGGGCTCTACAGTGCGAGTATTTCACTCACAAATGCCCCTAAAAATAGATAGAAACCAAGGGGAACAGATTCGGGCATGTTTCCTGGTGAGGGAGGGTTTGTGTTGCTGTGGCTGTGTTGAAGTCCATCAGGGGGGCCACAGTGTGACTCGCTGGATGGAGGTTGTTAAGAGGTAATCTGTAAATCTTGGTGAATCTTTTGTCTGTTTCAGTGTTTCAGAAATGTCCGGTGCAGGAATTGCAGTGTCCTCGTGGCCTACAGGAGGCGGACTTCCTGGACTTGCTGAGGTCCACTTTCCCTCAGCTGGCAGGAGACGACAAACGTTTTCACGTCTTCAAGTCCGACAGGAGCAGGAGGCTCCAGCGGCTCAAAGTGAAGACGCTGACACCAGAGGGATCTACAGGAGCATGAAGTCCACCGGCGTAGAAAAGACGCTCCTTTACATCCGACTGAAGGTAGATACTGCAGAATTATCCACTTCTTATACTACATACAGTATCTCAGACAAGTGAGCACACCCATCACCCATCAAATGTATCTTTTCATGTGACATTAATGTAATGTGTTATTTTTAGGGGACAGCAAATTTACACTGTTATACAAGCTGTATACTCACTTCTTTACATTCTAGTAAAGTGTAATTTCTTCAGTGTTGTCACATGAAAAGATATAATTAAATATTTAGAAAAATGTGAGGGGTGTGCTCACTTTTCTGAGATACTGTATATGTCCCTGCTCTGTAAGGCTCTGACACTATTTAAGGTTTCATATGAGATAGTTAAGTAAATTAAACTAGCATCAGATTTGATTTAAATTAAAAATAATTTGGGAACAAACTCTTGCAGACAGGAGAGGAGGAGGAGAGGGGAAGAGGAAAGAGTTCCACCTTTTACAGAGAAGCGACGACACCACCACCGATTCTCCGTCCACGGCGCTGAAGTGATAAAAACTGATGAAGCCAAGCTCAGCTCAAGGTAATTTAAAAATAATTTACCAGTAGAACAGCAGATATTTATTTTCTTCAACCCATAACAATAAACTTTGTGTGATATTTTACAGTTGATCTGTACTTCAGGTCCTTGTGATTTATTGGCGGACATATACGCTGATTTATATATATGTGCGGCTCCAAACAGGGAAGTGTTGTCAAGGAGGGCTAAAATCAAGAGCTGTTTTAAAACTGTTGTGTAAAATGTAGTAGTGTGGATTTATTCCAAGTCTGAGTGACAGTCCCTTGGCATTGTCACAAGGCCAAATGTGAGTGCTTGTTCAAACGTCGGGGATAAAAGGATAGCATTGTAGGTGGGGGGATAACACACAAACCTACCCCCCTTGTGTGAAGTCTATCCTTCAGGTGTTCTCTTCTCTTGGGCTCGGTTACTTGTTAGTATATTATCAGCTTAGTTGTGCAGGGTCCTGATAACTTCGGTGACAGTCAAAGAGTAATTTGGTCTGTGTGTTGGTTTCCGGTATACTCCAATGTGGAGGCTCCTGTTGTCGTCAATGCTAGGGCACGGTCCAACATGGCCAAACTGATGTCGCTGACATCCTCTCTGTGAATTTGGTGTCACTGTCCACAGAGTTCATGTGTTCTGTGAAGGTCTGCACTTCTTGGGTCCCATGTGTAGTCCACAAAGTTATACCAGTGGCTCGGTGCTGTTCCTCAAAAGGAGCTTCTACTTCTTCTATCTATGTTGGCCACAATCGGAGATCCTGGTCTTGAAGTATCTTCAACCAAGTCCAGTTGCCCTTGATTTTAACCCTCCTTGGATAACCTGTACGACTGAAAGATTGTTAATTTTAAGTGTTGTCATAATTTCTAATTCCATAATGTGAGGACTCAAAACATTACAATGCATGTGCAAGCAATGTTTAAAATTTGTGCTTCACAGCTGCCGTGTTCAACATTTGTAAAGTAACAAAGTGGATTTTCTGTCTAGCAGCTCAACATCCCAACAACAGGCCATGGAAACAGGGGAAGCTGATGATGATGCTGCTGAGAGCCAAGTGGACTCCA